TATTTTTCGTTTTAATTTTTAGTATATATTACAATAACAATACACTAAGAAATCAAGAAATTGAAGGTTGAACATATTTGTCTTTCTTTTATCTTTTAAGGATTATTGGTTTGTTAAAAAGGGGAAATCATAGACAAATCAGAGAGGGGCAACTATACTTGAAAAATATCATTCTTTCTGTTGCTGGCTCATTCTCAACATTCCTACTAAAATAAGAAAATTCATTTAAATGAGAAATTATTATTAAAATAATGTCCAAAAGTCTAGTCATGAATATGACACTACATAAACTTTTACTTATAAATTATTATAACTAATGTTATGTACTTGCAATAGAATTATTATTTAATGTATTTTCTTATTGCAAATTTTATTTTTGAAAAGGCAATAGATTTAAAATAGATAAAATATTATCACATAATTAAAGGAAAACTAAATAGCTACATACGAAGAATTAATTCCTGTCAATTTCTCATCAAAATTTAAATATTATGTATTATCATTATTTTTATGGTTATATTAACTAATAACCAACTTATTTTTATATGAACATATGTTAAGGATCTATATATATATATTTATTTGCTTCAGAATTTTAGTCTTAGTTAACTTTGTTATTTCTAATTCATCTTTTTTTTTTAGTTTTCACCATGTCAAATCTATCAAAGCTTGAGTTTGTGGCACTTAACATTATTGGAAAAAATTATTTATCCTAGATCCTTGATGCTGAAATCCACCTTGACGCCAAAGGTCTTGGTGATACTATTAAACAAGAAAATAAAGCATCAAGTCAGGATAAAGCGAAGGCCATGATTTTTCTTCGACATCATCTTCATGAGGGATTAAAAATTGAATATTTAACTGTGAAAGACCCTCTTGAATTATGGATTAATTTGAAGGATCGGTATCCCACCTAAAACTTACAGTGTTACCAAAAGCTCAATATGAGTGGATACACCTTCGATTTCAAGATTTTAAAATTGTAACTGAGTATAATTCTGCTATTCATAAAGTAAGTTTCATATTAAAATTATGTGGAGATACTATCACTGATGATGACTTACTTGAGAAAACTTTTTCCACTTTTCACGCTTCAAATGAGTTGTTACAACAACAATACTGTGAAAAAGGGTTTAAGAAATATTCTGAATTAATTACATGCCTACTTGTGGCTGAGCAGAATAATACTTTGTTGATGAAAAATCATGAAGCCCGTCCCACTGGGTCTGCTCCATTCCCTGAAGCGAATGTTGTAGCAATACATAATCAATCTGAATCAAGAGAAAATAATTCTCGTGGACATGGCCGTGGTCGTGGCCATGGTCATGGACAAGGACGTGGACATGGACGTGGTAGAGGACGAAATAATTATCGTCATTATGGTAGAAATAAACATGAAAGTAACAAAATTTCTCAAAATAATCCTTCCTCGAGGTAGAATTAATGTTTGTCACCGATGTGGTATGAAAGGTCATTGGGCACGTGAATGTCGTATGCTTGATCATTTTGTGAAACTTTATCAATCCTCTCTCAAAAGAAAAGATAATAATGTGGAGGCACACTTGACACCCTCAAATAAATATGATGATATTGAGGCAAATCTTGCTTATAAAGATGATGATTTTGAAGGCCTCCCAAATATTACTCATTTGAAAGCTGAAGACTTCTATGAGAATATTGATTGAAGAACTGATCATCTAATTGGGGATAAACTTGTGAAAAAGAATAGTTGTTATTTTCTAGTATGTTTACTACTACGTCGTTCTTCTTAAATGTTTTTCCTAAGGCATTATGTCTTACTAATTTCTACATTTTTAGTGTAATTTCTTAAAGTTTCTTATGTTGTTAGTTTTTCACGTTCTTATAATATCTTTTATTTTTATGAAGAATATGGAAATTCCCCAGTCATCAGTTGGATCCAAAATCAATTATGATAATATATGCCTTATAGACAGTGCCACAACACATACTATCTTAAGATATAAGAAATATTTCTCTTATTTAATTATGAAAGAAGCTAATGTGAATACAACATCTGGTAGTACAAAATTAATAGAAGACTCCGAAAAAGTTAACTTAATACTTATCGGAGGAACGAATTTGACAATCGATGAAGCATTATATTGTAGTAAGTCTCAAAGAAACTTATTAAGTTTCAATGACATTCGTCAAAATGACTATCATATTGAGACTACAAGTGATGAAGATAATGAATATCTTTATATTACTACAATGATGTCGGGTAAGAAGTTTGTACTTGAAAAGTTACCCGCTCTTTCATCTGGCTTGTACTACACAAGTATTAGCATGGGTGAAACACATGCCATAGTAAACAGAATGTTTACTAAATCAAATGATTTTATTATTTGGCATGACTGGTTGGGCCATTCCCGTTCTAATATGATGCGCAAAATAATTGAGAGTTCACATGGACACTCTTTGAAGAACCATAAAATTCTTCAATTTAAGGAATTCTCGTGTACTGCATGTTCTCAAGGCAAATTGATTACTAGACCATCAGTAATCAAATTGGGAATTGAATCTCCAGCATTTCTGGAACGTATACAGGGTGATATATGTGGGCCCATTCACCCATCATGTGGACCATTTAAGTATTATATGGTTTTAATAGATGCATCTACAAGATGGTCACATATGTGATTATTATCAACGCGCAATGTGGCGTTTGCGAGATTACTCGCTCATATAATAAAGTTAAGAGCACAATTTCCAAATAATACAATTAAGAAAATTCGTCTTGATAATGCTGGTGAATTTACATCTCATGCTTTTAATGATTACTGCATATCAACTGGGATAACAGTTGAGCATCCGGTTGCTCATGTTCATACTCAAAATGGTCTAGCAGAATCATTGATTAAACGTCTCCAATTAATTGCTAGACCAATGCTTATGAGAACAAAACTTCCCATTTCATTATGGGGTCATGCTATTTTGCATGCAACAAGTCTTGTGCGGATCAGACCCACAAGTTATCATAAAGTCTCCCCATTACAATTGGCTTTTGGTCAAGAGCTGAACATTTCCCATCTTAGAATATTTGGATGTGCGGTATATGTTCCAATTACTCCACCACAACGTACAAAGATGGGTCCCCAAAGAACGTTGGGGATATTTGTTGGGTATGAATATCCTTCTATTATAAAATATTTGGAACCTATGACTGGAGATTTATTTACGGCAAAATTCGTTGATTGCCATTTTAATGAATTAGTATACCCAACATTAGGGGTAGAAATAAGCAGCTGAAAAAGGAAATAGATTGGAATGCATTATCACTATCTCATTTAGATCCTCGTACAAACAAATGTGAACAAGAGGTTCAAAAGATAATCCATTTGCAAAATGTTGCAAATCAACTGCCGGATGCATTCACTGATCTACCAAGAGTTACTAAATCTCATATTCCAGCTGCTAATGCTCCAATTCGAGTTGACATCCCGATAGATCAATTAATTAATATAAATGAGTCTAAACCACACTTAAAATGTGGTAGACCAATCGGTTCCAAAAGATAAAAATCCTCGAAAAAGAAAAGGAGCTAACGATCAAGATGGTCATAATTTGAAAGAACCTGCTCAAGAAGAGCAGAAAGACATATTAATTGATGAAACCTTGGAAGAGGTTTAGGCGCCTGAAATAATGAAGAAATCTCAATAAACTATGTCTCATCAAGAAAAATACAAAACCAAAATGATATAATTGTCGACAATATTTTTTCTTATAATGTTGCTATGGAAATAATGCAACAAATGAGGATCTTGAACAAAAAATTGTCGAGGAATGTAGACAGAGAAATGATTGGACAAAATGGAAAGATGCAATTCAAGTTGAATTAGCCTCGCTTGAAAAACGCAAAGTTTTCGGACCAATAGTCCGAATACCTAAAGGTATAAATTCAGTGGGGTACAAATGGGTCTTTGTGCAAAAACGAAATGAGAAAAATGAAGTAGTGAGATATAAAGCAAGACTTGTGGCACAATGATTTTCCCAAAGACCTGGTATTGATTATATGGAGACATATTCTCCCGTGGTGTATGCAATCACTTTCAGGTATCTTATAAATGTGGCAGTTCATGAAAAACTTGACATGAATCTGATGGATGTCGTTACAGCCTATTTATATGGCTCACTAGACAACAACATATTTATGAAAATTCCCGATGGATTAAAAATGCCTGAAATATATAAGGATTTCTGAGAAAGTTTTCAATAAAACTTCAAAAAAATTTATACGGATTGAAACAATCAGGACGCATGTGGTATAATTGCCTTAGTGAATATCTATTAAAAGAAGGGTATAAGAATGACCAAATTTGTCCTTGTGTATTTATTAAAAGGTCTGGATTTGAATTTGTCATTATAGTTATATATGTTGATGACTTGAATATCTTTGGAACTCACGAAGAGTTTTCAAAGGCAGTAGAATGTTTGAAAAAGGAATTTGAAATGAAAGACCTTGGAAAAATAAAATTTTATCGGGGTCTACAAATTGAACATTTTACAAATGGATTTATTCATCAATCAACATATACTAAGAATATTTTAAAGAGATTTTACATGGATAAAGCACATCCATTAAGTACCCCAATGATTGTGAGATCACTTGATATTAATAAAGATCCGTTTCGACCTCATGAAAATGACTTGTTGGTTATGAAATACCATATCTTAGTGAAATTGGTGCATTGATGTACCTTGCTAGTAATTCTTGACCAGATATATCTTTTTCTGTAAATTTATTAGCTAGATACAGTTCTTCCCCAACACGAAGACACTGGAATGGTATTAAACATATATTTAGATATCTTCAAGGGACTATTGATTTGGTACTATTTTATTCAAAGGAATCTGATTCACAATTAATTGGCTATGCAGATGCAAGATATTTGTCAGATGCACATAAAGGTCGATTTCAAACAAGTTATTTATTTACATGTGGAGGTAAAGCTATATCATGGCGTTCAACAAAACAAACTATGGTTGCTACTTCTTCAAATCATGCAGAGATATTAGCCATTCATGGAGCAAGTCGAGAATGTGTGTGGTTAAGATCACTAACCCAACACATCCAGGAAACATGTGGTCTTTCTTTAAAAGGAGATGCTCCAACAACATTATATAAAGACAATGCTGCATGTATAGCTCAACTAAGAGAAGGATACATCAAAGGAGATAGAACAAAATATATTTCACCTAAATTCTTCTTTACTCACGATCTTCAAAAGAAGGGAGAAATAGATGTTCAACAAGTTCGTTCCAGTGATAATTTAGCAGATATGTTCACCAAGGCATTACCAACTTCAATCTTTGAGAAGTTGAGATACAAGATTGGAATGCGTCATCTTCGAGATATTAAGTAATGTGTTCATCAGGGGGAGTAAATACGTGTTGCACTCTTTTTCCCTTAACCAAGATTTTATCCCATTGGGTTTTCCAAGTAATGTTTTTAATGAGGCAACAACAATGCGTATTATAAATAATTTTATATATATATATTACATGAACATCCCAGGGGGAGTGTTGTAAATATGTGGATGTCATGTGACCCACCTCTTACTGTAGCAACATCACTTCTGCAAGTAATATTTTTCCTATAAAAGGGTATGCAATGTAGGATATCAAAGATAAGTGAAAACAAACTTTTACTTCTTCTTTTACAGTTCTTATTCCTTCTCTCTTTTCTTCATGCAATTAAAGTTAATCTTTTTCTTTATTTTATTACAGTTGAAAGGTTTTGTTTTGTTTCTAGTTAAAATTTTGTCAACACTTACTATGAAGTACGATAAATGTATGTGTTATTTTTTATTTTTTTTTATTTTAGATAACTAAAAGGTGAATAATATAATATTTCCTTTAGCGGTTATCCTGGTAGTATAAATTACAAAAATAGGATTTCTAATTATTTTGTTTATTTCAACATTATTAGGAACATGAATAATTTAGATCGTGGTTGGATGTATGAGAGGTTGGATAGTCGAGGGGATATAAACTCTACTTTTGTCATCGGTGTGAATAACTTTATTCAGTTTATATGTTCTTAACAAAATCGCATGAGTGGTAACAACGTTATATGTCCATGTAAAAAATGTCACAACATTAAATACATGGATGTTGAAACCGTTAGATATCATCTTCTTCATTCTGGATTTGTTGAGAACTATTTTGTTTGGAAACATCAAGGGGAAAAAGAGTTGATCAGGGAGATTTCTTCTGGTAATGATTTAAATGGTGGTCCTCAATCTGAATCGGGATACGATAATCCATATCGACATATGGTTTTGGATACAGTTGGTCCAAACTTCAACCATGGTTCGATGGAGGAGGATCCTAATCCTTCAATGGAGGAGGAGCCTAATCTTGAGTCTCAAAAATTTTATGATTTGCTACAGGCTGCTGATGCAAAATTATATCTTGTTTCTTCCCTTTCTCAACTTGCAGTTGTTTCTCGTATGTTGAATATTAAAATGAAGAACAATATGTCACAAAGAGGTTATAACCAAATGACACAATTGTTGAAAGAGGCTTTACCTGAAGATAACATGGTGCTTGATAGCTATTACCAGACAAAAAAGCTAGTGCGTAAGTTGGGTTTGCCGGTTGATAAGATTGATTGTTGTGAATCAGGATGTATGTTGTATTGGGGACCATCCTATCGGTCCGTAGACCTCCATCTCGCACTTGACATTTTTCCAATTTCTCAACTCATTTCCACGACCACCCTCCTACGGACTGTAGGACCTTGTAGGTGCTTTTATACAACTTGCGCCAACAACCAATTTTGTAACTTTTCTTTCTAAATACCTCCCCCTTGAAAATATTCATCCTCGAATGGGACTCAAGTTAACACAAATATATTAGGGAAAGAGATCTAACAACCAAACATCAATATAAATCACATCAAAATGCACATAAACAAAGAGTAATCGACCCCAAGCTAAAACATAACTTCGAATCAAGTTTTCATGAACATGCATGCATATGGAGACATGAGAATAGCTAAAAAGCATGAATCCGAAAGAGTAAACATGAGGAACTAATACCTCAAGCTAGAATGGGAATGCAAGGAAAGAGATGAGAACATTAAGACATCATATTGACTTCGTTGTCCCAAGTATCACCCTTAACTAATTAATTCCTCCAAAGTACTTTCACGGAAGAAACTTCTTTATTTCTCAATTTTTGGACTTGACGATCCAAGATTTCAATCAGAACCTCTTCATAAGAAACACTTTCTTTAACATCAACACTCTCCAATGACACAATAGAAGTAGGATCACCAATACATTTCTTCAACAATGAAACATGAAATATCGGATGCACTGATGCGAACTCGAAAGGCAAATCCAACTCATAGGCTACCTTACCGAAATACCTTAAAATCTAATATGGGCCTACATAACGAAGACTAAGCTTTCATATTTTCTGAATCTCATCACACCCTTTATAGGTGAAATTTTTAAGTAAACCTAATCATCAACATGGAATTCAAGCTCTCATCTTCTAACATTGGCATAAGACTTTTGTCGACTTTGAGTCGTTCTCAACCTTTCTCTAATAATTCAAACCTTCCCATAGCCTCATGAACCAACTCGGGCCGTATCAAAGTGACCTCACCAACTTCAAACAAACAATATGAGACATACACCTCCTACCATAGAGAGCCTCAAAATGGAGCCATTTTGGTACTTGAGTGGTAACTATTAGTATAAGCAAACTCAATCAAAGGAAAATGATCATCCCAATTACCCTTAAAGTCAATCACACAAACTATTAATACATCTTCCAAAGTATGAATGGTATATTCACCTTGACCATCTGTCTGAGGATGAAAGCCGTACTAAGATTCACTTGAGTACCAAGACCTTTTTGAAACAACCTCCAAAATTGAGATGTAAACTGAGTACCTCAGTCAGAAATAATGGATAAAAGCACTCCATGCAAATATACTATTTCCCGAATATATAGCCTAGCATAGTCTTCCACTGAAAATGAGGTCTTCACAGGAAGAAAATGACCTGCCTTCATCATTCTGTCCACAATAACCCAAATAGAAACAAACTGTCAACGAGTATGAGGTAAACCCGTAATGAAGTCCATATTCAAATCTTCCCACTTCCAAATAAAAATACTAATGTCTTGAGCCAAACCTCTCGATTTTTTATGCTCAACTTTTACTTTCTGAGAATTAGGATACTTAACCATAAACTCCGCAACATCCTCCTTCATCCCATTACACCAATAGACCTCCCGCAAGTCATAGTACAACTTGGTGGCTCCTGGGTGAATAGAATATCGAGAACTGTGAGATTTTGATAAAATTTATTGCCTCAATTCATCATAATTCAGAACGCATAACCGACCTTGGTAATAAAGCACATCATCTCCCCCTTGGGAGAAAGCCTCAATGACTTTTTTTAGTAACCACTTTATTCAACTCAACCATAGTCGAATCAAGATCTTGCTTAGCTTTCATATCTAAATCAAAAGACGATTCTGAGCCATTTTGAACAATGATATCACCATCCTCATAATCAACCAAATGGACACCCAATCGAGCTAGTCTATGAACATCATGAACTAACTCCCTTTTACCATCTTCAATGTGAGTAAAACTACTCATTGACAATCGACTAAGAGTATCGGTAACCATATTTGCCTTACCCAGATGATAAAGAACATTCATACCTAATCTTTCAATAATTCACGCCACAATTTTTAGTAAAGATTCAAATCTTTTTTCTTACACATATTGCAAACTCTTATGATGGTGAACACATCCACATGAACACCATAGAGATAATATCTCCAAATCTTCAAAGCAAAAACCATTGTCGCTAACTCTAAATCATGAGTTGGTTAATTCTTTTCAAGCACCTTCAATTGCCTCGAGGCATAAGAAATTACCTTCTTATGTTGCATCAAGCCACAAACAAGACCAATCTGTGAAGCATCATAATAAACTACAAACTCATAAGATCTTTCTGGTAATGTCAAATTTGGGACTGAAGTGAGTCTATCTTTCAACTCTTGGAAACTCTTCTCACAAGATTTCGACCATTGGAATTTCACCTTTTTCATTGTCAACGTAGTCAAAGGCGAAGCAATAGAGAAAAATCCTTCCACAAACTTTTTATAGTAACTGGCCAAACCTAAGAAACTTTGAATATCTACAGGGAATGAGGTCTAGACCAATTCTTAACTGCCTTAGTCTTCTTTGAATCAACCTTGATACCGTCACTAAATACAATATGGCCAAGGAAAGCAACATACCTCAACCAAAACTCACATTTTCTATACTTAAAGAAAAATTGACGATTCTTGAGGATTTGCATAACTATCCTTAGGTTATCAACATGTGCATCCTCACTCCCTGAATAGATCAAAATATCATCAATAAATACAATCATGAACATGTGGAGATATTGCTTGAAGACTCTATTCATAAGTTCAATGAAAGCCACCTAGGCATTAGTCAAACCAAATGACATCACCAATAACTCATAGTGTTCATACCAAGTTTGAAAAGCCGTCTTTGGAATGTCATTTCCCCTTAGCATCAATTGATGATACCCCGATCGAAAGTGAATCTTTAAGAAGAAAATAACATCTTAGAGATGATCAAACAAATGATCAATCATTGGAATAAGATACTTATTCTCTATTGTGACCTTGTTCAACTGCCGATAGTCATTGCACATACGAAGTAAACCATCCTTCTTTTGAACAAACAATATTGGAGTACGCCATGGTGAGATACTCAGTCTAATAAAATTCTTATCCAATAAATCTTTCAATTAATCCTTTAACTCCTTAAGTTTTGTCGGAGCCATATGGTACAGAAGAATGTAGATAGGTTGTGTATTTGGAAGAAGGTCAATACCAAAGTCTATTTCTCTTTGGGGAGGAACACCAGGAAAGGAAATATTTCTGAAAACTCACTAACAATTGGGACTGACTCAATAGTATCCATATTTCTAACTTGAACAAGATTATAGATACAACCTTTAGAGATTATTTTCCTAACCTTTAGGCAAGAGATAAACTGACCCTTAGGCGTTGAATTTCCACCCTTCCATTCTAAGATAGGTTCATTCGGAACCTTGAATGTGACCAATTGGGTCTGAAAATCTATGAAAGCTTATCAAGAATGAAACTAATTCATCCCAAGAATTACATCAAAGTCTATCATGTCTAGCTCTACAAGATCAACTAGAGAGACTTTATGACAAACTAAAATTGGGAAATTTTATAGATTCACCTAGTGATAATAGAGTCACCAACAGGTGTAGAGACTGAAAAAGGTTCTAAAAGGATTTTGGGACAAAAATCAAACTTCATAGCCATATAAGGAGTCAAAAAA